ATTGCAAGTGTATTGAGGGATTAGAGACTCTCCATGGCTTATAGAATAGCACCCACAGCATGGCCACCATGATTATGACACTTCGATACTCCAGAATGAAGAAACGGGATGTGAGCTCCCACCGAGTAACCGACCACATGTTCTTCAGGGATGAAATGAGTCTGCAAAAGAGTAGCCATTAAGAGGAATTCTGGAGTGCATGCTGAGGGCAGCGTTTCAACCAGGCTTCTCAAAAGCACAGCTTTAGATTTTGAGTGCCAATAATGATTAATAAAGAAGGAGACAATACTGAATAGAACTAGATGTCGAAGCACAGCTTGAATTAATATCTTGGACTACACCCATGTTTTGAGAATTTAGTTCAGGAACACAACACATCACATTTATAGACTGCCTCTAATGATAAATTAAGCAGATTTTTGGTTTTCTAGTCCTATTATAAAGTCTTCATTAATGAAGCTTTAGAAAATGTTCAACACTCATTTATTAACCTATTTAGCCCCTGTGTCACAAGCATATTTGAAGGAAATGTAAATCAATGGAACACATGCTGATTCGGATCCAACCAAAGTGGTAAAGCAATGTTGTCTAAGACTCTTTGTGGTTTACAGCATTTTTTGAGCATTTACACACTGTAAAACTCCTTAAGGTTCTTCAGATTCTTGCGTTCTTTACTGTATAGCACCACTATAAACCAAATTTATAGTCTTTCTATGAAAGAATATTTATAGGTCTGACCGTTCCCCTGTAAAGAGTTCAGGTTATGTATACATTATAGACTCTTCAGAAATCCATCTGGTACCACTGTAATCACAATTCTCAGATGATCAGTTATACTCTATTATAATACTGCTAAATTTTACCTGTAGTCGCTGTAGACGTAGAGTTTTTAAGAGTACAACCAAATGGAAACCTCCTGTTTTCCTTTGTACCTGGAAAGCTGCATTTCATCGATTGGCCACTAGAGGCTTGTGCTAAAAGTGAGTAGATTTGAACTGTGAGCAAGGTTACGTTGTATTTATTGTAAAAAAAAAAAACCTGGAGCTTTCATCAAACAATTTTGAGTTTTAAATCTAGATCAAAGAAGCCGATAATAGAATGTTTTGTCTTAAACGCATTTTTTTGGCAGCATTATGACATTTCTTTTACCCCTAGACACTTACAGTGCTTTACATATTTGAGAGGGGTTTACCACCACCAGTGTGCAGCATCCACCTAAACAGCCATTCTGCAAAAAGAACACACATACCACACACATGCTGACTTACTGACGGTTTTTTGACAGAGTGATGTTGCCAATCCAGAGATTTATATGAAGCCTTGATGCCAGAGACAAGTGGGCAGATGTAGCCATGTAGGTTCCTCTTTTAAAAGGAGTCCAAGAACTTACTGTAGAGCTTTGTTACTGTACATTATCACCCTCAACCCTGCACTGGGGTTTAGATCCCAGGCTGAGCACCCCCTGCTGGCCTTACCATTTCCAATAGTTTTGTCAACAACCAAAATTTTTAAGCTTTTTATTTTGAGAAAATGCAATATATCAATTACCACTGATAGTCTGAATTGTCTCAGGCATTGGATCCTAACTGAGAATATGAGGAACATTAAACATCCTGTGAATGCAATCTTGAGAGTTATGTAAAAAAAAGACAATTCTATGGGTTTTTAGATCTGGGTGTGGATCCGGAATCAAATGTAAACGCTTACAAGAATATAAGTCGTTAATGAAGTTTCCTCCATTCAGCTTTCTAATGCTTTCCCTTTTTGCTTAATTTGCTTAAGCAGCACTAGAATTTGTAACTATTGGACGCTGCTGTTCAAATCATTGTCTGTATCTTCCAGACTGACCTGCAAGATGATCTGTTAAAATTCCATGAAGAACCATGCAATAGAATGGCGCTATTGTTATAACAAGTCTTTGAAATATGAACAATTCAACTACCTAGCTTTTTTATGTGTTTATTAATGTGTTTTCCACACTGATTATTATTGGGCAGATTACTGGGTTCAGAGCAATTGTTGGTTTGGCAGTTCCAACTGGAAGCTTGCAGGAGAACTTTAATGCACAGAGTCTCTTTCTTTTAAAGCAGCACTGATGCCAGTCTTTTCATAATGAAAATAGTCCATTTCTCCCAAAGGCACTTAGTTAAAATTGGTACACACTAATTTACATTTTTTTGGTTTAATGCTTTTTTTTTATTTAATCTTGATAGTGTTTTTTTTTGTGTGTGTGAACAGTTAGACACAGACAGAAACATTTCCTATTTTTTTTCTAACATAATTATGCCCATACGTACCACTAGAGGGCGCTCTTAGCTCTGAAAGTTGTACCTTCTCCAGCCTCATAGTAGAAGGGGGTGAGTATAGTAGGGGTCATTTTTGGCAGCACTATATTGTAATGCCTTCATGTCTCATATTTCAGTTACTTTATTGAAGCACTTCCAGTAGGAACCTGGCTCTATATTTGTGCAAAGAATGAAATCTTAGCTTTGAGCAACTTAAAATTATTCTCTGCATGATGCTTTTAATTCTTTTCTGTTTCTACTTTCAGTACTTTTATAAAGTTATGCAGTATTTGCTGTCTGGATTACTGTGCTTGGAAGTCTGTGGGACATCCGAACGACCCTGTTTAATGTCAAAGGCACAACCAGCCGAGTCCTAATGAGAGGAGAGCAACAGGTCTTGGTGCTGCTGTTGACTCAGATGTGCTAGGTAAACAGGGCTCCAGGAGTTCCAGTCGAATGGGCCACAGAGCCAGTGGATTAGGCTAATGCTGACCCGTGAGGAGGCGGGGATCCAGGGTTGCCTTTGACAGAGCATGATGGATTAGAGCGCTGGCTTGGGGGTGGGTGGAGAAGGTGATGGTAGAGTCAGGGGTTCCAGGGGCAGGGAGCTTGGCTGGGCCAGGATCAGAGTCTTGTTGACAGGGGATAATCCCGTTTGTCACGTCACTCCGGGGCACAGGTCTGGGCCATGCTGTATGGATCAGGGCAGTGATGTAGTGATGTGCTCCAGGGCACACGTTCCATCTAAGACTTTGAGGTTGGGGTGTTTGGTGCTGCTTTTCTGGTTTTCAAGCTTTTATTTGTTTGAACATTTTTAAACATGTGATTATTGTAGAAATATTTTAATGATTTTAGAGATTTGAGAGGCCTCTCATAAACAACAATTCAATTAATCAAAATGTGTTCCATGCAAAAACATGGATTTGCTTCTAGTCAATTGCCACAAATGATACCAGCAGCAGCTTGGGTCTCTGATCTCTGAGGATTTTGACGTCTGAGGTGGAATATGTATCAGAGAGGAGGAGGTGACATCGTCAGGCCCTGTGTTTAGCCTGTGTTAGTCAGTACTCTTGAGTGTGACATGTGGCACGGAGGTTTCGGATTTGGCGGTGCTGCCGGTCATCACTTCACCTCCTCCCATTTTCCACTAGCCTCGTGTGTCACGCGTGGGCGCCCCTGTCACATCTCTCACTCCGTCTGGCTTGACACTGACTACTGAGCCACGCTTTTTGGGAAGCGCCTACATAACACCACTGTCTGCCGTGCCAAGATGAGCTGCCTCGGTGGCCAGACGGAGCCTCCGGTAAAAAAAAAAAATCATCTTTGTCCTGTTTCTCCATATTTAGGAGTTGTGGGCAATTTTGTTTTTTTTTATCAGCAAAGTTATGACTCTGCAAGAGAGAGGTTTTGGGAGACAACAGTGGAAATGTAGTGTAGATTACCATCTGGGTCTTCTAGGAATTCTAAGCCAAAATGTATGATTTATTTCAACGGTTTGATTTGAAATTTAACGGATTTGCACTTAAGCATCAAATAAGAATTTGACCCCACCCATTTAGCAGCATTTCTGGCTTACTGGTGCCTAAACAGGTAACTTATCTGAAATAACGAGCAAGTCTTAAAAGACAGTATCCTCTCATTAACTGTATAAAAGACATCTGTCCACAGAAGCAATAATTCATTCATTCATTTTCCAACCCGCTTATACCCTTTTTTTGGGGTCACGGGGGTCTGCCAGTGCCCATCTCCAGCACACATAAGGCGAGAGGCAGGGGGTTCACCATGGACAGATGCAATCATTCAGATTCCAAAATCGTTGGCATTTACAAGACCAAATTGCTGTCCAAGGATGTCAGGGACTATAGATTTCACACCTACACAAGACATAAATTAACTAAAAGATCACATCTCAGCAGCAGAATTAAAAGGCAACAGCATTTTGTGAGATTAAATGCAAGTAGAACGAAAACATTTTAACAATTTCCCTCAGTCTGGGGTTTACAGAATAGAATACAGCTCAATATTTATTAGAGTGTGGAATCTGGGAACAAAATCACAAAGAAAATAATAGATAACATCTTAAGTTTGATCCAAATCAAGCTGTTTGTCAAATGGCCATGTTTGCCAGAATGTGAATGCTGACTATAAATATCAAACATCTTCTCCACTATCAAAAATGTTGGTAAAAACATACTTTGGAGGTGTCTTGCTGCCACAGGGACAGGGCATCAGCACCACATCAAGGGGACAATGGATCACATACCCTAAAATTCTTGAGTGGAAACCTGTTTCCCTGAGCCTAAACATTGAAAATGGGTCGTGGATGGCTATTCCAGCATGACAATAACCCAAAACACACAGCCAAGGAGTGGGTCAAGAAGAAACAGATTAGGGTTCTCAAGTGACTAAGCAGTGTCCAGACCTAAATCCCATTTGAATGTTGAAATTACCAAATGTTCACCTAGAAACCTTTTGAAACCTTGACTTTGAGGGAATCTACAAGATGTTTCCAGTCAGAATCAAACTTGAGATGTGCTCAAGGCTGGTGAGCAGCTACAGGAAACATCTGACCAACAACCACACTTCCAAATGTGTTTTGTACAAAATAAACACAGGGTCAAATATTTTACATTGCATTGCATTTATGTATTTGGCAGATTCTTTTATCCAAAGCGACTTACATTTAAAGAAATGAACCCATTTCAAAGGTTTTTGCTCTCCTTTGGGTTTGAACTCACAACCTTTTCGTTGTTAGCGTAATGGTCTACTGACTGAGCCAAAGGTGAGAGTGGATCTATATCTACATGGTGTAGAAGCATTTTGTTTCTTGTGGTATTAAATGTAATTTGAACCTACATAAAAAAATCTTGGTGTGTTAAAGATTATATTTTACTGTAAATTACTCATCAGTTAGTCATTTGGGAAAGTCAGATAGTTAGCCATTTTTTTAATGAGCGGGAAATTCTACAGTTAAATCAGTCTTCTGTTTAGTTGTTGTTGACATGTAAAATTGGTACCAAAGTTTCAGATCTGCTAGTTGATCGTTTTAGTTATGTGGTTGCCTAGATGCAAGCTACATTTAGTTTTATTGCAAGATTAAAGCAGATTACATAGAAAGTTGGTGTTAATGGTGCACTCTACTAGTTTCTGCATTGCTAAACATTCTCCAATGTGTAAACTACCATGAAAGCTTACCATAAATGGTTAAAAGGTAAAAAATAAATAAGAGTTTTAATGATAACCTGGTCTCTAAATGGACCCATGTATTGAAAGAATTCTTTTGCAGAGCTAACACTATTTTTTTCAGCAGTACTCACAGAGTGCCACTGAACAAAAGCAGTACCTGGAAGGTGAAGAACACTGTGTCCAGATGTGTGCTTTCACTGTGGGCTGTGTGTTGTGTGATAATGGTGATGAAATTAAGACATTTTCAGTAATGGGCCAGGAAGAGCAAAAGAAAAGTGTGATAGACAAATCTACAACATAGACTGTTGAAAAAAATGAACAATGCATCACCACCTCCTGTCATTGGGCCATTTGAGACCACAGAGAGCAGAATGGCTTCGAAGACTCTACACATGCTCTTTCCACTCGGCATTGCAAACTCAAGTGGTTATGCTTGAATTGAATGAAATTAAACAAGACCATTAAACATTGTTCTCTGTGTAGAATACCCAAACGTGAGAAAATTGAAAATGATTTTTTTCTAGATTTATTTTTATACTGCAGCCAATCTCTGTAATTGTGACTAAGAAACACAATACTGCTGGTAGGTTTCTGTGGATTTCACCATGTCAAATATAAGACGTTTAAAGACCTTTTTAAGAGCATTAAGAATCAAATTAAAAACCTATATCATACTATAACCACTATAAATTAACAATAAAATATAAATCCCTGTAAAACATACATGTGTTTTAGAAAGCGTTATGTTTCATCAGCGAATCCTCAGCATTTTCCTTGTAAAATGATAAATGACTAAAAAAATTGTTGCTATGGCAGCCATCTTTTTAAAAAAAAATCTGGAAAATCTGTCTCAAGCACACTCACGGTGTGTAATAAAAATAGATATGAGAAAAAATTTTAAGACGAAAACTCCCTGCATCACCTGTGTCCATTAAACAGCAATGCAAAGATACTAGAGTGATTCAACGTCAGAAATCCAAAGGTGGACGAAGACTGTTTTACGTTTACCAAGCACTGTGACTTAACTACATATCCACATAGCACTAAATAAAGACTCAACAGTGTCTCCGGAATGCAAGGGAAGACCTGAGAAGATCTCAACCTTCCAAATCAAAAACTTTTAAGTCAAAAACTGACAAGTTTGTGTTGTGATTATGATATTAACAGTTTGTCATTGTGTTTGAGATTTTATTGAAAACATGAGATCATACCAGATACAGTTATTACAGCATATTTCACATTTACAGAACAAAAAAGCTTTCAAGAAGAGGTTTTTGTATTTTTTGGATCAGAAGGTGCTAGTAACTAAGTTCCTGAGTATATTTTTTATTAGATACTTTTACTTTTAGTTAATTAAATAAATATTCATAAATATTGTCAAAGTACCAATATTTTTAAGTAAATATTTTCAAAATTACTTGTTCTTTTACAATTTTGAAAACAAAATTGGGATGATCTGACCACATCTGGGCAGTACGGTGGCCTTCCAGTTAAAAGGTTGTCAGTTTGAGGTTCGGTGGTGACCTTCCTGGAAGGAGTTTGCATGTTCTGCCTGTGCTTGCCCACTGCGCCACAGTGCCACCTGAATCTTACACATAAAATAGAAAAGTATATTTGTTTTACTCTCAAAACAATCATTTTCTTTGCTTTTCTTTGACTCTCTTGATCAATCACATTCTAAATATCACTTCTGTTTCTGAACTTTAAAGTATGGCATTCTTTACATTTTATCTTGTCAAGTCAAGTCAAATGTTTTTATACAGCACCACAGTTAGGCAGTATTTAAATGATGTTTAACGGTTTAATTGTGTTTCTCACAATCATTTGAATAAAACTTTGTTTCAGTTGTCGCTTAAAACATAGCAGTTTCAACATCTGTCCTGACTTTTTTTTTGTTATGCTCAGGGTATTGTACAACATTTGGGGATTCTATTCTAAAGACAATGGGGGGAATCTCTGCATTGAATGTTTGGGTGTCTCACTCAATGTATGCAGGTGTGTGTGTAGGCGTTAGACCCCCAGGATTCGCCCACTCAGCATAGTGGGTGTTGTCCATGAAAAGAAGGGAGGGGTCCTGGAAAGTGTGTGGACAATGACCCCATCCAGCTTCTCTCCGTGGGAGTGGGTGGGAGGCAGTTATGCATCATTCAGCCCCCACTGAGTGCCTCTAAGCCGCCCACACATTCTGGAGATGCCTACCTGCCCAGGATCCCTCCTCTGTCCATCTGTCCTGCTTAAGAAAAGGTTTAAGATGAAAAGGTTATATCTTTATCAAAGGTATATATTTGTGAAGCATCTCAACTCACACTTTGGTTGCTAGGTCAAAATACTATTGCAAAACGCGCCTCCTCTGGTTATCAGAAATGAGCCTGTGCTGCACATTACCCAAGATAACAACTCTTCTCTTTAAAGCTGTTAAACCGTTTGACACTCTGAGTAGGAGAAACGGGAGGAGGCAATGGTTCATTTCAACACCCTGAACTGTGGCTGTTGACTCAGAGCGTAGACGTGGGAAAGGCCTCGGTCTGATGATACGCAGCCAGGCTTCAGCAAGCTTTGAGATGTTCGTCATCTAATCTCTAGGGTCAAAACCGGGAGATGGCTGTGGTTTCAGAGGAGCTCCGTACAGCTGCTGCCCTGCCATTTATTTTGCTAACACAAACCCAAATAATTCCCATACGAATCTCCTCCAGAGTGATTTGACTCAGCCCTTTTCAAGTTCACACCAGGATCCGTGAACTACAGAAGTGGGAGTAACTATTGAAACAGCTGCTTTTCTGTTGTGATTGAGAGCAAAAATCACAATAAAAAAAGATCTGTCCATTATTTGCTTTCTTTTTAATCTACTTCATGAATGTTCTTATGAATGCTTGTATGTTCCAAAATTTCATGTCTTGTTTCAATTTGAATAATTCATAAACCCAGTGAAAACGGAATTCTGCAAGACTTGGGCCTTTTTTTACAGTAATTACAGCATCAAGGTGGTGTTGCATGAAGACGATCAGCCTTTGAAACAGCCGAGGTTGCCCCAAGTGCTTCGAAATGGGCCTTTATTTGCAGAGTTGTTCCGTGGATATTAATCAAGGTACTGGATGATTTGGCTTTGTGTGGATGTGTCAAATGGAACTAAAAAATTAAATCAAAAAGTACAACCTGTCAGTTGGGCACCTTTCCTGGTCACACTTCACTTCCTCTTTACACGCCTTAGTTTACCCTTAGAAGTTTCTGCATGCACTGGCCCATCACTCTTGGAAGCAAAAGACCTGTGATATGGCTTGTGCTTTTCAAAGTTCTGGCACAAAAAGCACAACGTCACAAAAAGTACCCGGAACAGTGTATATGGTTTAGAAGAGGAGCACATGGTTTTTTGTTAACAAATATTTAGAACTTGTCTCTGCTTTTAATGGATTTGTGAACTTTTTTTTGTTTCAACACTTTGTTTTTTGTTCTGAATAAAAACTGATTTTTCTCAAAAATTTCTAAAAAAAAAAAAAGCTGGGGTTGTACTAAAAATTGATATCAAGCATCCCAACAAAAATATTTCTAAAATAATTTCTTGGAGCAAAGGAAGTGTTTAAGGAATTTTCTGAAACCAGAAGCAAACAAGGGCCCAGATGGTCAACTCAAAATTGGTTTCACCATGTCTAGTTTAATTTAGAGAGCCGCCTACAGCTTTAGAGCTACCCGCGGAGTTTCTTTACACACATATGGAGGAGAAGAATCCTCTACATACCACCTTAAATGCATCCTAAGACCCCTCGGAAAGTCCCCTAATTTGAGCCAGCCATGTCTCACTGTCGCTGGGGTTTGGACAGCATGTGGGCTCCTGACAGTTTGGGTTTAGCTCAGCTGCTAAGAGGGGGTCTTCTTGGATCTTAAAGTACATGTGTCCTGCTTCAGGCATGTTCTTCCTTGACAAACCTTCATCTTGGATTGATCTGGTTTGGGTTCACTTTAATGCACTATTTAATGCTTAAGAATTGTGGGTTTGCAGAGATTTTCTGTGATGCAATTTAGTTGCTGTTTCCAATTTTCACATTTCTGCGTTTAAATTATTTAACTTTATTATTCCACTGCCAACTAGCATGGGAATATTTAAAACAATATTTGTAACAAATCAAAGTAATTGGATTTCAAGGAAAGTGCTTTTTCAAAGATGATGCACACCCAGAGGGCTACTGGAACAAGACATTTCTTAGTTCCTGCCTTTTGTTTGCACACTTGGCAGCATTTTCACAATTTCCATTAAAATATTAGAATTGTCTATGCCCATTTCTAACAATGTTTTGATAAATGAAATGGACAGCTAAATAAACACCATCTTTGTTTTAAAATGTCAAAACAAGGCTTTATTAATTTCCCATAGTGTAGTATATTTAAAACAGTTTCAGCAGCTGTCTAGATTTAAAAAAAAAATAAGTATTGCCTCAAAATAAAGGAAAACAGTTTTCATTTTAATTCAAATTTCTTCTCCTTTGTCCAGAGTTTAATTCCAGAGTTTGTCACCTTTTTATTTTTTCCTTTCCTTATTTTGGCTTTTGGGAAAGTTTTGTTGTGTCTAAACATGGCTCAGCAAAGAAGTGTGATGTGTTTTTATAAA